TTATATACACTTGCCAAAAGCTGCAATAACTGCAGGATGATTGTAGGATAGTCTGATGTCTCATAGCTCTGTTAGCTATAAACTGCACTAGTCCCTCTTGCATTTTGTCCAGCATTTTGTTTCTCTTTCAGAATAAAATGCACTTCCTTAAGCTAAAGGCAGCTGAACAATTGGCAAAGATACTTCATAGCCCCCTGCCAATTGTTGGCAAGCAAGGAGCAAATGTTTTCCAAAGCACACAAACCAATCAGATATGACATGTGGTTATAGTAGTTATTTAATGTCAAAACACTTTTTTTTTTGCCTTAACAGCTTTTATACCTCATATCACCTTGTGGGTCCCCTCCAGCTAAGAATATTCTGTGCACCTTCCACAGTACTTGAAAAATATCAGCTACTTAAGCCTGTAAGATTCAGGTCAGTGTTGTAGGCCAACATTTTTAGATGGTGAATCCTATGTCTTTATTGGCAAAATCAGCTTTTTCAGCTCACTCAGCCAAAGAAAAGATGTTCCTTGGTGCTGATTTTCCCCTGGAAGTATTTCATTTCAATACATTTGTTATGGGTTGAAAAGAATAAAACAATATAATGTTTTTTTGCACAATTGCTTGGAATTTTGCAGAGGAAAATTGACAGTATGAATACAGCCTTTCTTAACTAGCCACTGTGCTTACAGATACTTCAGAAAAGGGATGCTGTCTTCAGCTGAAATGGTGGCGCTTTGTTCCCAAGATATAAATTACTCTCTTGTGCCAGAATGAGGTGTAGCTGCAGAGTTTGAATAATTCAGCAGGTTTACTACAATGTTTTGCTCAAGAGGAAGTATTTTTGCTTAAACCATAGCATAATGTAGGTGTGTTCATGCTAGGACATTTTAAATAATGTCAGTGCCCGAGTACCACAAGATGTTTCAATAGCTAAACCCATGATTTATCAAAAGTTCTCTTCCCTCAGAGATTAGTAGTTGCTGCTTGCTTTATCCCATAGGGAGGTTTGTTAGGGCCTGAATGCACTGTGGTAATCTAGAATTGTGTACTTCCCCATGTAGTTGTGCCATATTGTGTATTGCAAGGTGGATGTGAGTTTACCAGGAAAGCATATGTTTTCAGGAAATGCTAAACCCTCCATGCAGGTACTCCTGTGGTCATTATGAGTTTTGGTAGTGTTTGAAAGGGGTGTTCCTATCAATCTCTCAATTTTGGAGAGGGCGAAACTTTAGTTTTGAGTTAGTGTCTAAACTGCTGCCTTTCAGACTCACCTTTTCAGACATCGGTTTAATGTCTGGGGTTTTTTTGTGATATGCATACAAGCTGGGGCACCTAGAGCTCTCTTCAGCCTGCAGTGGGAGCTGGGAGACTTCCCTCTACTTCAAAAGCTGAGGTAGTGTGCTGCCTTCCGTGGCTCAAGAGTGATCATCAGGAGGAAGATGTTCAAGTCTGTCAGGACAATTGTAGACATTTTCTATGTTGTAGAACAGCACAGAATTTTTTCTCTAATTCAGCTTGGTTTGGAGCATCAGGCTGCCTATCAGAGCAAACTTGTGATTTGTGTCTAGGCCCAGAGGTTGCCTTTGCGCAGAGCACAGATTCTGCAACTGGCCATTCAAAGGCATACTACAAAGCTGGAAATTATCCCAATGACAAAGAGCTGTGTATAAAATAGCTTTCTGATACCTAAGATTATAAACTAGCTTTGTCCTTAACCCTACCAGATAGTGATGGACAAAATACTAATGAGCTTGCAAGCATTGTGGAAAAGGGGTAACCTGCTCCATATTAGATATATCAAGTAATATCAGACTTCTAGGTTCAGCAAGTTTCTCTTCAGGCTCTGGAAGCTGGTTGGCAGAGCTACCTGTGTAAGTGCACACAAAAAAATTGATATTCAGAAAACCCCAGAACTGTAACATTCAAATGAGGATTTCCCACCTCTGGAAAATGTGGCTAATATTCTACATTATCTCATGAGCTAGAATTGTGAACTCTCCTAATGTATTTCCTATCTTCTGTGTGTACAGCAGGGTGGAAGAAAATATGAATGAGTATGTTGGTTTCGAGTGGTAGGGGATTTTTAGAGAGAAGGAAGAAGGAGGCAGTAGGTGGGTGAGAAGACATGAGGTGGAGAGAAACATGTAGCATCTAAATGAAGTGCTGAGTTCTCCAGAGCTGTTGTTACCCATGCTGTTAAGACCAGTAAGTCTAAGGAGAGAAGTCTGACTCTGAACAGTTAGTGTGCTGTGTGACCCTATCACAAGATAATATTCAGCAGCAAATGCTGTGAAGAAAGTGAATGCAACAGCTTCTGTGGGAAAAAATTGGCAGGAAGGCAAGTAGAAGCAGACTGTGAGACATTTCTTACAAACTGTGCTTAGAAACCAATCTGTTCTTTTTTATTGTTCTTTGATGAAGGGATGGATTAAAAATGGTACAGACAGCCTTGAGGCCTGTGATAGTACAGTATCTGCAGTTGGAGGCAGAAAACTCTTTTCCAGTTGAAGCTTGAAAACTCTTAATGGTTTTTATGCAAAAAGGGGTAAGAATTAATTTTAAAATTCTGAAAATGTCAAAACCTTAGGCTCAAGAGCAAGTTATTTTTTTATGCAGGAGAAAAAGGATTGAAAGAACAAAATATTAAACATGTTTTTATACTTACCTACATTGCTTATAGTTTGGCTAAGAGAAATGTCTAACTTTGTAAGTTTTAATATGAAAGAGATCTGTATCATCTCTCTGTCCTATTTACATTTTTGATGATGTCTACATAACAGTATACGTGTGTCTAGAAGGATAAAAACTCACATGTGTTATGGGAGTGATGTACAAGCTCAGTGCACCAATGAATGGTCCACTCTTGTCCCACTGAGTGCTAAAATCTCTATTAACAGCCCAGACTCATTCCCACGAAGTCAAACGTTTGAACAAAATACGTGGGAGCAGGGTTGGATATCGTGCCACGGGCCTCAATCACTCCCCATCAGCAGACGCAGCCCGTGCTCGGGCCGAGGTTTCGCAGTGGCTCCCAGCTGATGAATTCATTCCTGGCTGGAATTGGCCGCTCCGAACCCTCCGTGGCTGTCTCAGCTCTGCCGCCCCCTGCCCAGCAGGCCGGAAAGACCCCGGATCCCAGCGGGTTTGCTCCTGCTGCTTGTCTTTCTCTTTGAAAGAACATCTCGCCTCACTGTGACTTACATCAAATGTAAGGCAAAGAACCTTTGAAAGGATGGAAGCAGGCTGTAACGCGGTGTGATTTTCGCGTGATAAGCGCCTCGTCTCCCCGGCGGGATCAGTAGCTGGGTGACAGGGACACCTGCTGGCAGGGGGACTGCGCCAGCATCCCTGGGAATCCTGCTGCGACGGACTCTCCTTCTGGGAGTGGTTAATGCCTTCATTCCAGCTTCCAAACACCCGTGACCCTTCTTAAATATCTCTGTAAGCGGCGTCGTATCTTGTATTGATTTCTGATTTGTAGCAGAACTTTTTACTATAAAGAAAGACAACTCTTTAATTGTAAATGTTAAGCTTCATTCAAAAGTTAAATGGGATGTTTGTTCTGGGGCTGATATTGTCTTAGATCACGCCAAAACTTAAAAACTATGTTCTGAGGAAGTGTGGGTTTGTAGAAGAATCTCTCAGATCAATGATAAATTAATGTTAATGCTCAGCATTCGTACAAAATATATACATTAGGGAATATTTTGATTAAAAATACAAATCAGATGTGTAAAATGCATATTTTATGATTGGCTTTTCGCAAATGTTACAATGAATATTTTATGTGTAATGTTAGAAAGTTATGCTGTATTAATTCTCTTAAGTAATGTGTTAAATATAGTTTTATGTTCCAACATAATGTTAAAATAGAAACTCTGCTATGTGAAGGGGTTTTTTTTAGGAATGAGATACTTGCTTCGAGGAATACCTAAATCTTCCAGAAAAAGAGGAATTTACCGTTTTCTTATCAGAAGAAGCTAATTTCTTCAGGCCTTGCTCAGACTCGAAGACAAAGTGGGGATTAAAGGAAATAGTTGACATGCAACAGACAGCGTTTCTTGTTTTAAATAGAATGTATGCATAACCATGAAGGATACATGAATATGCAACAGGCAATTGCTTTTAAGGTTATTCCTTTGTTCACAAGGGATGCTTCTCGTGACTTAGTGTCCGAGAATTCTTTGCTTTTTATTGTCTTGTAATTGTCCTAACTCTAAATTTTATTACTCTAATTGTGTTACTATTTTTATAATAATTTTATTATTATTAAACTTTTACAAATTTTAAAAACCAAGTGATTGGCATTTTTCACACAGATATCTTGTGAACAAACATAAAGAAGTCAAATGGTCTGTCATAATAACATAGTTAAATTTCGTGTGTCTTCAATATTTAAAAGTCTTTTGGAGGTATTTTAGTTTACTTTTGCAAGCACTGTGCAATCAATGCAGTGTCTCAAACGTAACAAACACGTCTAATATATATGTGTGCTCATGTTTACCTGTCTATGTTTCATTTAAGAAATCACTCCACACTGCTTGACGTGTATGTACTGCTGACGTAACAGGTCACACGGTTGTCTCAAACCTGTGGCAGAGCAAGGCTAGTCCTGGTTCCAGGAGTGTTTATAGCAACTCTCTTAAAGCATCACTCTTGTGATTTGAGCAAGAGATGTTATGCAGTAGCTCCTTGCTGACAGAATGACAATTTATTGTAGTCTAAAATTATCCCCTGAGAATGCACTTATCTGACTGTATCAAAAAATCTTTCACCTTCTGTCCACAACATTTGATGTCTCTAGCATCATATACCTTCATCCCACAGAGAATCCAAGTTATTACATACTGCCTAAGGGCTGTTCTGACCTTTTTGACTTCTAAACAGTTTTCTACTTTTTTTTACTCCTTTGACAATTCAGCAAATGAAATGACAGAGATGGATTTTATTACAGGAGCTTTGACAAAAATTATTTATTGCTTACCTAGTAAACCTGGCCATAAATGTAATTGATTTATAAATCCCACAAAAGCCAAACAGTAGCTAGTGACTGCTTGTAGTGCTGCTGTGTAGAAATTATGTGTATGGAGGGATAACTTTTCTTCTAGCCAAAAGACTGTGCAGGAGTAAAGCAACAATATCTCATGTCCTCTGTGGATCAGGACTATTCTGGACCATTTTTTTTCCTGGTAGCTCATTCTATATTTTCACTTTCTGTTTTAGTGACTGTTTTCTGTTATCTGTTCTAAAAGGATGGCAGAATGGACTGCAGTGTATCAGGAAGGATGGATTGGACTGAAGAGAGGAAGAAGCAATCTCTTGTCTGAGAAAATTGAAAGAAAATGTCTGTGGTACTAGGAAGATAACTTGATAACATGAGTAATATAGACAGAGGTATTGAAGTTCTGACCATCAGAGTGAGATGAAAGGCCAGGTGAGGTATTGTTTCATATTAATATTTTTCTCCTGAAACTCTTTTGGCTAAATGTAAGTGTGGTCCAGTAACTGTAATTTTTTAAACAAGTTTACCTGGGAAAAATTGTACTGTATAAGGGAAATGGCATTTTACCTGCAAAGTCCAGTTTTGCTCTTGATTTACGGCGTTGAGTACTGGTCTTCAAGTTGCCTAGATCTGCTGAAGTTCTTGTTTGCACAGTGATATTGGGCTACTGCAAATATTAAATATGTTTTCTGACTTCGGTGCAACTTTTCCATGCAGCAGCACATTGGTAATGAAAACCTGGTTTATCAGCATGGAAGTGGCCATGGGTATTGGGGTTTTTGTTCTGTTTGTTATTGGATGTGTGATGTACAGTGTTGCTATTCCTATTCAAATACTGAGTCAGATCACTTTTTTTGTGAAGGTCCACATATTCCACAGAACTGGTTCTGAGCGGGCTATTGCAGAATATAAGTGCAGTAAAACAAAGCCCTCCAGAGAACAGTAAAAGGATTTGTCATAAACTGGACGAAATCTTGCATTTATAGTAAAACTGCAATGGAATACTATTTTTGCACTGATACCCAATCTGTTGGTTAGCTTGAGAGCAGGCAGCGCTCGGGTTACGGAGAGGGAAGGCTGAGCAGAGCCCCAGGCGGCTGCAGGGACAGAGCCCAGGGTCGCGGCAGAGCTCTGACAGCTGCTGGGGGACGAGCGAGCTGCTGCTAGAACTGCACCTTCATGCTGCTGTACAACTTGATTTACTTTTTTGGATAGTTTTGGATGGTGGTAAACACTTCTGTGCCCTTGGGTAAACAGTTTTATTTAAGGTCCAGAAATGAAGATGAGGAGCCTCTCCTCCTTTTACTTCTCTCTGTGGTTGCTGTTCACAGCAGTGATACTCAAAGGTGAGAATACTGCTTGCTAGTTAAATGTTGCACTGAAGTTTATTGTATTCTGATGTGATCTTGTGACCTGAGGTACCCCAGCTGTTTAATCTGTTTATTTTAACTTTGTCTCACTGATGCATAGACAAAATTATCATGCACGACCAGAATTGCAGCGCTCTTCGGGAAGTTTGGATTTGATGGGATATCTTTTTAGTCAGGAAGGTTTGCTTTGAACTCTTAATTAGTGCAGGAAGTGGGTGTGAATCACCAGAGATGCACTCCAAAGCACTTGTTCCCCACAAATTGCCACCTGGCACTTGCCGCGAGTCTTGCCAGCGTGTGAGAGACTGGAGCGCTGAAGTGATAATGACTCGAGCAATTGGCCATTTGCAAAAGCAGCGGGTGCTCTGATGAGGCCGATTTCACCCCACAGCCGAAGGGGAGCAAGGCTAAGCCCATCACCAGGACAAATTAACCTTTGTTTAGCAGCAAGCTGGGCTTTGAACCAGATAAGGGAGAAGACCGATAAAAAGCGGATCATGTGAGACCAGCTAATACTTTTTATCATGTATAGTGATATCGGTCCTCTTCATTATCTACTCTTATCCTTTCTTTCTTTTTCTTTCTTCTGTATTTTCTTAAGTGTAATCTTTATACTTTTATATAATTTCATGTCTATAGATAATAACCGATACGACTACGTACCTCTTTCCCATTGCTGGAATTGATGAAACTTTACCATTATTTTTTGTAACTTTAGTCAGGGGTTTGCTGACCGGGGGTAGGGGAATTGAAGTTTGTCATCAAAAGAATGTTCACCGAGAGAGGTCTGATGAGTTTAACATCTAGAGACGGGGAGTAGCCAGAACATTAACGGGCATTGCTCCTCCGGAGACGCTTGGTCTGGGAAAAGGTTGATAAGAGAACCAAGGAATGAGGTCCGAACTAGTATCAAAGGCGAAGGGATCAATTACCAATAGAAGATTGAACATTAAGAATTGTGTAATTTAAAAAGAGTGAACGTGAATTTCTTTGGGGTTTTTATGTATAAATAAGTGAAAAGTCTGGTAAAGAACCATGTAGGATGGACTGATTTCCACTTCACAACCCGGGCATGTGTGGATGAAATAATTTCTACTGCATATCCTGCTCAGAATAAAATCCTGCCCAGAATAAAGTAATGCCTAATTCTCTAACATGGAAAAGACGTTGATGGAGAGTTTCTGTTTTCCCTGTAGTTTCAGCGACACCACTATTTGCATCAAATAGTTCTAAAATAAACCTGCCATTCATAAATATGTGTATTTATACATAACTCCTAATTCAGTGTTGTTTCACTCTTATCCATCCCAAGGGATCATTTAAGAAGAACCTCAGTTACTCCAACTTCAGGGGTGGGTTGTAACAGAGTGGTCCTGTTGTCCTTGCCCTTTGCTTGCAGAAATTTATGTATCTATGTAAAGAGGCTGCCTGGAGAAACTGTGATGTACAAAACACCATGAAACAGCAAAAGTGTAATTTAAAACCTCAAGTTCCTGTAAATTATCTTTAGTATCTAAGTTTGGATAGCAAGAAACATCACCAAATACGTGGTTTGGAAAAGATGTTGGTGTACAGATGTATTCACATATTAAGCAATTGCCAGCTTGTGAAGAAAAGCAGTTCAGATATTTCACAGGTGGTATTTTAAAAAGAAAAAGACTGAATTCTGGAAGTAGCAGGAATCTTACCAGTGCTGCTTTTGGAGACATGCCAAAAGCCATTAGCCTGTAAGTGTAATTTCAGACCTTGCTGACTGGAAGTCATTGGAAAGTCATTGGTAAAATAAAAGTAATTATATTTACTTTAAAAAAATGTAGGACTCACTCTATACAGAGTTTTTCAGTGGGTGTGAAAAGCTTAAGTTAGCTCTTCACTTGCTCCAGGTGAACGCTGTCTTTATTTGAATAACTTCATCAGGTACTCTTCTGTATCTGAACTAATGATATTCTACCATATATGAATGATAAATATGGTTATAGCAAATACTGCTTGAAGAAGTAGAAAGAAGGTGTTTTCTGATGCTGCTCAGTGCTTAATCTAATGTACTGAACAAGTCCATGTTTTCTAGCTGTAGAATCAGCCAAAGGAAAATATGCTCACATGCTGTTTAATGAACTGTTTGAAGACTACTCCAATGCTCTGAGACCAGTGGAAGACACAGATAAAGTACTGAATGTCACCCTTCAGATCACATTGTCCCAAATTAAAGACATGGTGAGTAAAAGTAGAGTTCTGTTTTTCTAAAAATGTACAAGGATACATGTAAGATAGATGTAAGCCTTTTGTTTGGATGTAAGCCTTTTGTTTGGAGTAGGAAAAGCAGCCTTCATTTTGTGGTGATGACCTCAGAAACGCTTCCTCACAAGCAAAGAAGAGGGGGTGGCCTGAGGGATTGGGGATGTGTCCTCCAGTTTTTGTACATTCTTCTCTGGTTGCATCATTTAAGGCTTTCATTTTAAGTGTGGAAACTTAGAGGTGCTAAATTTTTAAGACATCTTATGTAGTTAGGTGTTGGTATCACACCCTCTAGGCAACTTTTGTTGAGTTTTAAATGCAGCAAATTCTTTTTCTAAGCTGCAATTAATTTCTATATAAAATCCCTAAAATTAGCCTCCAGTAATTTTTATAAACATGGTTTTTTAGATACACTTTTAAGGCAAAAGAAAATGTGTCTGGAAGGAGAAGGAAAGATTATTTTTGTAACTTCTGAATTATAATTTCAAGGCCTCACCAAGCTCTCAAAGAATTTCTTAGCCTGGATCTGTTAGCTATTTGCTGTTCTGAGGCTTGCAAAAGGAAATTAGGAAGAGCTGGGAGCATTAGATACTGAGATTAAAACTAGGGAAGGTGCTGAGAGATGAAGGTTTGCACAAGTGAAAGTCCAAACCAGTGTACAGTGTATGGGCCGAGATGACTGTCTGAGAATTATTTTGTGGCCTGTTTGTATTCTGGCCTGTTTTGAGCACTACATCAAAGCCATATCACAAATGCTGTCTGTGTCTAAGATGTGATTTTGTCACCTTCAGCTAGAAATATTTCTACATTTTTATGCAGGATGAAAGGAACCAAATTTTGTCAGCTTACTTATGGATTCGACAAAGCTGGTATGATGCATACCTCAGATGGGACAAAGATAAATATGATGGGTTGGATTCTATCAGGATTCCAAGCAATTTGGTTTGGAGACCAGATATTGTCCTATATAACAAGTGAGTGTGGCTGGAGAAAATCAGCTTGCATATCTGAGGGAGGGATGGGGTTAAAGGAGTAACTGGTCTACAGAGTCTGAACTTTCATCTCTACCTTACCTTAGGAAGGGGTATGTTTGTTGTCTTAACATTTGTTGTTGATAATCTAAATATTTTGCAATAAAGCAAATTTTGCAATAGACAAGATCTGAAAATTATGCTACACAACAAAGATTTTTTGAATTTCTCTGCACTGGAAATTGATACCCTGGCTGTCTGAGATGCTTTCTGCTGAGACTCCTAGAGAACTCTGGAAGATGGTCCACAAAAAGATGATACATAAAGGCTGCACTCCTTGTCTGCTCTGCCAGGCCAATAATGACCTGCAGACTGTTTTCGTCTTTTAATGGACTCTTATCCTACTGTGTTCTGTTTGAAGGCAATTTTGAAGGAGCTATGGCCAACAAATACAACATAATTTAGCTGCACTGTTTGGCATTCATGGGCATTCATACCTATAAATAATGGTTAATAGTAAGTTCCTACTACAAGTCAGTGTAAATATGATTTCAGAAGCACGCTTTTAATGGTGTGAAAGGAGGGTCTTCCCCATTGCCCACCTTCTCTGGCCCTCACCCTTAAGTTTTTGTCTGTCAATCCTGATTGCCATTTTTCTGTCTTTTAGGGCTGATGATGACTTTTCAGAACCAGTAAATACAAATGTAGTGCTCAGATATGATGGAAAAATCACTTGGGATGCACCTGCTATCACAAAGAGCTCTTGTGTAGTGGATGTGTCATATTTTCCTTTTGACAGCCAGCAGTGCAACCTTACCTTTGGGTCCTGGACCTATAATGGTAATCAGGTAGACCTCATCAATTCTCTTGATAGTGGTGACCTCTCTGACTTCATAGAAGATGTGGAATGGGAGATTCATGGTATGCCAGCAGTTAAGAATGTTATCACTTATGGCTGCTGCTCTGAGCCTTATCCAGATGTGACCTTCACGCTGATTTTGAAAAGGAAGTCCTCTTTCTACATATTTAATCTGTTGCTTCCCTGCATTTTGATCTCTTTCCTGGCCCCACTGGGATTCTATCTCCCTGCAGACTCTGGTGAGAAAGTGTCTCTGGGTGTTACAGTTCTTCTTGCTCTGACTGTGTTCCAGCTGATGGTTGCAGAGATCATGCCCCCATCTGAAAATGTACCTTTGATAGGTGAGCTTTACACATTTTGTCTTTAAGCATGACTTATTAATAGCAGGGCTGTATGTCAGGGAATCTTCATGTAATTTATGATTTCCGGGAAGATAAATTCTCTACATTTTTGAAACATAGTAAAATACTTAAAATATGTGTGGAATCTGTATAGGTATGCTGCAGTTTATAGAAGTTATTTTGTGTTTATTTTAAGTTATACATTAACTAGCTGTTTTATATTTATTAAATATAGTTAGATATTTTGAATTATGCTATCACATCTTGAGATAAAGCTAGTAATGGAAAACAATTTTAGAACTAACACATGAAGTACAATCAAAAGCTATAAGCAGAAGGTCAGACTGTTTTAAGATATGTTTCTGTCACATCCAGATGGTTGGATGGCCTGGCTGGCATACTCACAATTGACTTAATATCTGACAATTGCAACATTGGGTTATAGGTCTTGGGAATTCATTATGCTGAAATTTAATTTCTGTCTGGGAGTTCAGGAAAGTTCATGTGCAATGAAAGGAACCTAGCTCAGTCTGTTTTCTCTATTCCCACTCTCTCCCTTGCCATCCATTCCAATCCCTTTGAAACTGAGCTCATGTCACACTTGTCTGTGGCATGTCCTGCCTGTGTCTTTGTTATTCTCCTGCAGAGGCTGCAGAGCAGGGATGGGAGCTGCCTCTCTGCATAGGTTGGTTGGATGCTCAGCTGTGTACTTCAGTTGCCAAAAGCAAGGGCAGAGGAGCACAGCTTGTATTCTGTTCAGCTCTGTGCTCTGCCCTCAGAGCTGGCAGCACACTGGTTGTGGACACCAGCAAAGTCTGCCTATTCACTGACATGTTTGAGTGTGAAAGCATGGATCTGCTGGTGTGGGTGCATCAATAGCTCAAACAAAGTCTGATCATCACACATAATACTTGAGGAAATGGGATTTCCAAGGTGCCATGTGAAGCCATTGGCATGGGGATTTTGCAGATACTATGAAAAGAGCAAGACTATTGAAAAACATTTTTGATCTGCTTTCTGAATGGATGTGTTTCAAAATAATCAGAGGTTTTAGCTTGCAAATATTTACCATGCGAATACAGTAGTCACATACTCATCTGATAAAGACATGCCAGTAATGAGTATGAGATTTTATCTTAATGGCTTTTATCTTTGTTTTTAAATGGTGAATTCTGGTCTAAGAAATTAAGGTGATTAAAGTTTTATTTCACTTGCATTTATGCTTAACACTATGTTGTCACACTGTTACTTGTTATTATTTTTTTTAATTAGAGTAACATCTTTAATATAATTTTATTTTGTGTTCTAGGGAAGTACTACATAGCAACTATGACCATGATCACAGCTTCCACTGCATTGACAATCATTATAATGAATCTCCATCATTGTGGCTCAGAAGCAAAGCCTGTTCCACAGTGGGCCAAGGTGGTTATTTTGGACTATATGTCAAAAATCTTTTTTGTTTATGATGTGGGTGAAAATTGCACAAGTCCAAAAAGAGAGAAGGAAGAAGAATGTAGGTTAGAGGGGGATGATGGGTGTCAGAGGAAGCACAAAGAGTTAAGGAGTCCTCTTTCCACTAGGAATGATGACTACAATCTCAAGGAGAAGCTCAATGGAAATTGGAATAAAAGTTATGGAGTTCATGGTGAAAATGTTAATTGCTGTTCATGTTACAAAATGCTAATTAAAAATATTGAGTATATTGCTAATTGTGTTAGAGACCATAAAGCTAACCGGGCCAAAGGGATTGAGTGGAAAAAAGTTGCAAAAGTGATGGACAGGTTTTTCATGTGGATTTTCTTTATCATGGTGTTTTTTATGAGTGTGCTGATCATTGGGAAAGCTGCTTAACTGAAAATTAATATGTTCCTTTTGTAAATCTAAATATTCTATGTTAGTTTGTTTAGGAAGAGTTCTGTGATAGGGGTGCTTTTGAGATCTTTGTCTTGCATTCTATAACAATAAACAAATTGATTCTGTAAGCTGTGACAGTGAGTTGAGACATTGGAAAACTGAGGACTTTGCTGGAAACTGTCCTTGCCTTTTAGTGTGGGTGTGCTGACAAGGTTGCAGGACAAGCAGTCAGTGTTCCACCTTGGTGGGTGGTGGCCTTGGGCCATGACTTCAGGCTGTCTGGGCCAGAATATTGCAGCAGTGGAGCAGACAGCCTAGCAGGGAGTTGTGTATTCACAGAGCTGCATCTCTGCACCTTGCAATTTGATCAGCCCTTTCTCTCTTCCAGGCAAAAAAAAAAAAAAAAAAAAAAAAAAAAAAAAAAAAAAAAAAAAAGAGTATTTGTGAAATGGTGATATTTTCTGGAGGCCATCCCTTCATGGCATTGCCTTTTTCTCTTTTGTTTTAGCTTGACTTGATAACTTACAGTTTTTGTTTCTGCTCGCTGATCACTGCTCATTTCATAGGCTCTACATGCAGCACCTTTAGCTTCTAATATGGTTGAGCTTACTGAATATGATCTTCCTCTTAATAATTTTCTGCTGCAGACCATGTATTGTCACCATGGCTCATGTAAGCCAGATTCCCAGGGTTTCTTCCCCACTGAGTCAGAGGGCCTCTTTTAAATTCTTTCTCTTGAGCCTAATAATAGGAAGAACTTCTGTCCTTCCTACATGTCTCATTGCCCTGGGCATTTGTTCAAGATGTGCCTTCAAATGCTACTTGAGACTGCTAAAATAGGAGGCTGTGACTTCTGTCTTCTCTCACTGCATTTACCTGCAAGTGTTCACCCTTTGTGTCCCTTGTTCACTCTTACAAGCTCTTTAATATTTAAATTTTAAACAGTTTACAGGAATGCCAAGGTTGCTCTGTGCATTACTTAGCATAAAACCATGATTTACAGACTCTTTAAAGTAGTGCCATAATCAACACTCCTTGTTCAACACCTTAGTTCTTATATATATGGGAAAATGTTTGTTTTCCAAACCAAAAACCCTGCTTCTCTCTGTTAATTTCTCTTAACCCTCTCAGACTGAGAGGGCTCTGGAGGATGTGAGAAACCAGTACCTTGGGCATGCCCATGGCAAAGAAATAGCTTTTGCAAGGCACCCTGAACTTTGAAACCATGATATTCTAGATGCAGTGGGAGAGGCAGAATGGCATTGTAATGGATCTCAGTGAAAAGTTCATGTGATAAAACTAATTTTCATAATTGTTGCAGTCAATAGGAGCATACCTGTGAATTAGTAACTTAAAAGCAAGGAGCTAAACTGGTAAATTGATGCAGTTGTTATGCCCAAATTTACTAGAAGAAAGAGAATTGTTCTTTTTATTTTGATGATGTAAATGATGCATGGCAGGTTTTCTTTTGTGTGGAATAATTAACACTGTAAACTTATCTGGATTCTCATACATAATGCAAGCCTTAAGTCCAGGTTTTAATGTAAAGCTAAACTGGGTGTCTAGCCAAGAATAAACTCAGTACGTGGAAAAAGTCTCAAGTGTGTTCCCTGTATATTATCAGTTCCCACTCAACCAGGGTAAATTTGAGTAGCCTCTTTAGAAGACAAGCTGTTCATTTTCATTCACTGTGCAAAAAAACAATGCATCCATTTGCCACATAGTTCAGGGTTTGGCACTTACACTGCCTGCTTGAGGAAACTGGTTTGCTCTTTGTTGTGGAAAAAAATATTGTCTGTAAAGCTGAGGGAGTAAGGTATTTAAAGATGGGGTAAAATATTTAGAACGTGAGTCTTCATCATGGAAAACTGATGACCAAGGGTTTATTTAAGGCTTATGGGTGGCATAAAGAGCTACTGTTCACAGTCCCTTACAATATAGGAGCAGGGTACATGAAATATACACAGTGTGTGGCAGAGTCTGTACAACATGTGATAAGGCTGAAGAGCTCTTTGCAACAGGATTGGTGAATGACAAAAGATTATATGGATTTCAAGACTTAAGGGGAAAATAAAAGAAAAATCTATTGGCACACTTCTAAATACAGTCACCAAGTATTTAAAGGATGAGCACTATTGTAGGGATTCATGATGATTAATGACTACATGTTCTTCAGTGCTCTTCATCCCACTGGTGGCACCCACTGGAGGTAGCTTCAAGATTTAGACAGCCCTTTAGTCTGATTCAGGATATCTTTCTTAGAAACTCAGATTTTGTCCATGTCGCTCTGTTCAAAACAAACTGCTGCAGTTGTGGGCTTTCCATGTGTAAGGGAAAGTTTGCAGTCATAGGTAAATTGTGGGCCTCTGTCATGCTGGTGCCTTTCAGTATTCTGCATGCTTGGATGATGATGTTGAAATCATGCTTTTCAATTCCACAATACTTTTTATATGAAGATGTGATGGTATAAGAAATACCTTCCTTGCAAGAATATGATTTGAAAAATAGTTCTCATGATTCAAACTTATTAAATATTAAATTTGCTTTTAAATTTTTATCCTTTTCTTTGGATCACCAGACATTCTCAAGTGTTTCTTTCACCCTTTATTTACATTTGGTGATTTTTCTTGATCTTGTAAGAAAGGCTTTTCAATTTTTAGTTCATAAGAGCCCTGGATTGGATAAAGATTGTAAGTAGCAAAGGATGAGCACCAGTAGAAGCTGGTTCCTGAATTTTTGTGATGCTAGAACCTTTGAGTCATGTCTCTGGACTTGATCATCATCCAGGGTAAAAAACATGATGTGGCACTGCATGCCATGATTCTGGTGACAGGTCTGACACAAGGCACATGCTATTGCCATGCAAGGGCCACCTGGTTTAAAGCTAGCTCAGGAGTTTCTGACTAAACTGTAGGGACGATGGTTAGGCCCTAATGTTTGCAGAATCACAGAAGCATTTAGATTGGAAAAGACCTCTGAGATCATCATGTAATGTCCAGTTGTTTCTTGAATACCTCCAGAGATTGTGACTGCACCTGGGCAGTTCATGCCAACCCTTTACATGAAGAAATTTCATCAAGAAGAAATTTGTTTTAAATCAGTCTCGTGTGTGACTAGGCAGAACTGTACATGACAGCTGTAGTGCTGAGTGAGACAGGACTGTTTAATTCTATCTGTCTTGGTCTCTTCCTCTTTCCTTTTTGTGCTTCGTGCTTAGATCCAGTAATCTTTGAGGAAGATGAAATCCAGAAATTATTAATAACTATGATTCTAGTAATGGAAAATTAGCTATTTATGCACTGAGTAACTCTGTTTACCATGAAGGCAGCAGGGTGGCTTTCTATTTACTGAGGAAGACGATGCTGTAAAAATAGTGTTTTAGATCTGTGTGCTGCAGAGGCCTTCGAGGGATGAGCTGACAGATTCTTTTGTTGTACCATCTCTTGGCAGAGAGATCACCTCTCCTTTCTTGTACTGAGTCATTGCAGTGTTGAAATGAGGAAAAATAGAAACTGTCTCTTGTGATGCCTTCACTGCTCTTTGCACAAGAAGAATTACGGAGCTGAAGTGTAATGGGAGGTTGGGATGTTGAATTATCAACAGTGCAGAAAGGTAAAAGATGGTCTTTCCTAACCTAGGAAATCTATTTGTGTTCATGGAAATTGAAGCAAGAGGGCTCAGACTAAACAAAAAAGGATCATCCTGAACAATAAATGATATTCTGAGAGAGAAGAGGTTTTTCCCATGCTTCAGGAATTCAGATGTCACATTCTAAGCATCTACGTATTTTGTCCACTGGTTAGCAAAGCTTGGTTCTCTGACACTGACAGGATTATGATACGTGTCTCAGAGTCATTTCTCAAGAAGTGCAGGAGTGTGGCAAGAATTCCTGATTGCTCACCAGTCCAATTTGAGAAGCTGAAGACCTGAGTATGATTGTTTTGGAGACAGGAAAAGGAGACTATGGGGTGAAAGGCAACTCCTCTCATTCTGTTTACAAAACTGTGAAGAATCCATCTTTTCTTACAAACTTCTGTTATTCATGGAATAAAAGAATATATTGACTCTTGTTTTCTTTCTTAGCATGTTTTTATCAGTGACAATATATAGGACTAAAGATGACCTCCGTAGTTTGTGTGCAGCCACCTCCTTTGTTCTTGCAGGCAGAGTGAGTGATTTAGAGCTCAATTAAAGGAGGGGAGCAAGCTGAACATCTATTTTCTCACTGTTCTCTGAAGTCTACTAAAAAGGAGAAATCTTTCTTCTTTGTTAGACACAAGTCCAACTCTGTGGAAGGGACACAGAAGGCAGTGAAGGTGTTTGTATCTACTTTGTGCTGTGCAAATTAGGGCTTAGTTGTCTCCAGGCACATTTTAAGAACTCCATTTTACCTTTGCAGTAAGGAATAACAGAGATAGCAAGTACCTAGCTCACTTTTGTTCTTATGTCTGTCTTTCTAAACACGTTGGTACATTTGATTCCTCGTCTGCAGGCCTCAGACCACTGAAGATCTGCAATTCAAGTAGGGTTTTTATTCTACTTTATGGAGACATTTATTTAAAAGGTAATACTAACTTTTAAGTAACCCATCTAGGACTATGGATTTTTCTGGGGAGCAGATATTGTTGTTTTTTTCATCTACCATTATCATGTTCTGTGTCTTGACATTCACACAGATACTCACAACAAATCTTTATCTCTATTTTAAAAGAACTTGAAACAGATTTTTGTAGTCATTCTTTTTATTAATATCATTCTTCACTGAACAAAATTTTATCTATGGTGTTGGGAGTGCTGGAGAGACTGCACACTACAGTCTTTCCTACATTTCACTTCCGTTTGAAGAACGCACTAGTTTTGATTAATTTAAATGCAATGCCAGAGATGGCAAAAGAACAGTGGAGCACAAAATCACATACTTTTAAAAAAATTACTTAAACTTAACCCAGATTATTGTAGGCAGAGCATTTCACTGAACAGAATTATTAAACTGGATTCACTGGGTATTTGCTTATGTGTCTGTCCCCACTAACAGACAACTTGATTAATAGTGGTCTTAAATACTGTACAATCACATCATATTCTGGTTTTGCTTGCTTTTGAATTCTCTATTAGCAAACTTAACAAGTTAGCAGGAAGTTTTTTGAGAAAATATAATATGAAAAAATAAAGAATGATAGTGTCATTAATGCACACATCTGCGTGCTTCTGTTGTTAATATGCCATAGATAAGTAATAGATCTGGCTCTTTTAATAATTCTGTATTTTCAGTTCTAGCTGAGACTACCAAGCTCTCATGACATTTCAGTGACAAGAGTGCCTTTTGTTAATGCTACACTGCAGCAAAAGCATACCCTAACAATAAAATCAAATAAATGGTAAAGTCATCTGGAGTAATC